CAGGAAGCAAAAATTATCAAAGGGTAAGAAAAGAGTTGCAATTAAGAAAATAAAATCAAATTAGAAGAGAGAATCACACAACATCTTTGTTAGTGTCCACGAAGTCGAGCATAACTCTCTCATCCGGGCTCCAAATCGACTGGTTCCGGTGGCATTAGAAAGCTATTTCATTGGGCTAGAATTCCCGTCTAACGTCAAAATTCCAAATTCGGACTCGAACATGGTCAAAATTGGATAAGAAAAGCGATCATGAAAATACGTACTACCATTCAAGGACGAGAATGCGCATCAAGAAACGTGCACAAAGACACTCTCTAGAAAAGATACGCACATGAGTAAAAGTTCAAAAGCATGCACAAAAGTACTCAAGCAAAAGTGCATTCCCAAAAAGGATAATGAAAACACAAACTACAATCCTAGGACATTAATACAAATAAACGAACATGCATATACACGCTCCCTCAAATGGACATGCACAAAAACGTACATGTAAAAAAACATGCGCAAAAGTGCATCCGAAACAACGTTCTTAAAAACACGAACTACAGTACTATGACTTTAATACGCATCAACAGACAACAGCAAAAACACTAGATAAAAAAGATACAAGGGAGTGTAGCAATAATACTCGACGTTTACGTTTACGTGGATTATTGTTTGGGTTAATTTATGTTTCTGTTTTTATTGGTGAATTTGGTATCTTTTAGGTACAAATCGAAAATTAGGTGTCCAGGAAGCAAAAATGATCAAAGGGTAAGAAAAGAGTTGCAATTAAGAAAATAAAATCAAATTATAAGAGAGAATCCCACAACATCTTTGGTAGTGTCCACGAAGTCGAGCATAACTCTCACATCCGGGCTCCAAATCGACTGGTTCCGGTGGCATTAGAAAGCTAATTCAGTGGGCTACAATTCCCGTCTAACGTCAAAATTCCAAATTCGGACTCGAACATGGTCAAAATTGGATAAGAAAAGCGATCATGAAAATACGTACTACAATTCAAGGACGAGAATGCGCATCAAGAAACGTGCACAAAAACACTCGCTAGAAAAGATACGCACATGAGTAAAAGTTCAAAAGTATGCACAAAAGTACTCAAGCAAAACTGCATTCCCAAAAAGGATAATGAAAACACAAACTACAATCCTAGGACATTAATACAAATAAACAAACATGCATATACACGCTCCCTCAAATGGACATGCACAAAAACGTACATGTAAAAAAACATGCGCAAAAGTGCATCCGAAACAACGTTCTTAAAAACACGAACTACAGTACTATGACTTTAATACGCATCAACAGACAACAGCAAAAACACTAGATAAAAAAGATACAAGGTAGTGTAGCAATAATACTCGACGTTTACGTTTACGTGGATTATTGTTTGGGTTAATTTATGTTTCTGTTTTTATTCGTGGATTTGGTATCTTTTAGGTACAAATCGAAAATTAGGTGTCCAGGAAGCAAAAATGATCAAAGGGTAAGAAAAGAGTTGCAATTAAGAAAATAAAATCAAATTATAAGAGAGAATCCCACAACATCTTTGTTAGTGTCCACGAAGTCGAGCATAACTCTCTCATCCGGGCTCCAAATCGACTGGTTCCGGTGGCATTAGAAAGCTATTTCAGTGGGCTACAATTCCCGTCTAATGTCAAAATTCCAAATTCGGACTCGAACATGGTCAAAATTGGATAAGAAAAGCGATCATGAAAATACGTACTACAATTCAAGGACGAGAATGCGCATCATGAAAAGTGCACAAAAACACTCGCTAGAAAAGATACGCACATGAGTAAAAGTTCAAAAGCATGCACAAAAGTACTCAAGCAAAAGTGCATTCCCAAAAAGGATAATGAAAACTCAAACTACAATCTTAGGACATTAATACAAATAAACAAACATGCACATACACGCTCCCACAAATGGACATGCACAAAAACGTACATGTAAAAAAACATGCGCAAAAGTGAATCCGAAACAACCTTCTTAAAAAGCACGAACTACAGTACTATGACTTTAATACGCATCAACAGACAACAACAAAAACACTAGATAAAAAAGATACAAGGGAGTGTAGCAATAATACTCGACGTTTACGTTTACGTGGATTATTGTTTGGGTTAATTTATGTTTCTGTTTTAATTGGTGGATTTGGTATCTTTTAGGTACAAATCGAAAATTAGGTGTCCAGGAAGCAAAAATGATCAAAGGGTAAGAAAAGAGTTGCAATTAAGAAAATAAAATCAAATTATAAGAGAGAATCCCACAACATCTTTGGTAGTGTCCACGAAGTCGAGCATAACTCTCACATCCGGGCTCCAAATCGACTGGTTCCGGTGGCATTAGAAAGCTATTTCAGTGGGCTACAATTCCCGTCTAACGTCAAAATTCCAAATTCGGACTCGAACATGGTCAAAATTGGATAACAAAAGCGATCATGAAAATACGTACTACAATTCAAGGACGAGAATGCGCATCAAGAAAAGTGCACAAAAACACTCGCTAGAAAAGATACGCACATGAGTAAAAGTTCAAAAGCATGCACAAAAGTACTCAAGCAAAAGTACATTCCCAAAAAGGATAATGAAAACACAAACTACAATCCTAGGACATTAATACAAATAAACAAACATGCACATACAGGCTCCCTCAAATGGACATGCACAAAAACGTACATGTAAAAAAACATGCGCAAAAGTGCATCCGAAACAACGTTCTTAAAAACACGAACTACAGTACTATGACTTTAATACGCATCAACAGACAACAGCAAAAACACTAGATAAAAAAGATACAAGGGAGTGTAGCAATAATACTCGACGTTTACGTTTACGTGGATTTTTGTTTGGATTAATTTATATTTCTGTTTTTATTGGTGGATTTGGTATCTTTTAGGTACAAATCGAAAATTAGGTGTCCAGGAAGCAAAAATGATCAAAGGGTAAGAAAAGAGTTGCAATTAAGAAAATAAAATCAAATTAGAAGAGAGAATCCCACAACATCTTTGTTAGTGTCCACGAAGTCGAGCATAACTCTCTCATCCGGGCTCCAAATCAACTGGTTCCGGTTGCATTAGAAAGCTATTTCAGTGGGCTACAATTCCCGTCTAACGTCAAAATTCCAAATTCGGACTCGAACATGGTCAAAATTGGATAACAAAAGCGATCATGAAAATACGTACTACAATTCAAGGACGAGAATGCGCATCAAGAAAAGTGCACAAAAACACTCGCTAGAAAAGATACGCACATCAGTAAAAGTTCAAAAGCATGCACAAAAGTACTCAAGCAAAAGTGCATTCCCAAAAAGGATAATGAAAACACAAACTACAATCCTAGGATATTAATACAAATAAACAAACATGCACATACACGCTCCCTCAAATAGACATGCACAAAAACGTACATGTAAAAAAACATGCGCAAAAGTGCATCCAAAACAACGTTCTTAAAAACACGAACTACAGTACTATGACTTTAATACGCATCAAAAGACAACAGCAAAAACACTAGATAAAAAACATACAAGGGAGTGTAGCACACTACCAAAAAAAGGGGCTTTTGTGACGGACAATTTTGTGACTAAATTAATGAAAATCCGTCACAAACATGCTGTTGTGACGGAGTTGTGACGGAACACGTCCGTGAGAAAATGGCTTGTCACTAATTTAAAGTGTGACGGATATATGTGTCCGTCACCTAATGTGTCACGGAAATATCCGTCAGTATTAAAATAATTCCGTCCCTAATATCTTGTCGAAGATCTGTAAAATTTGTGACGGATGTTGTCACAAACTTATTTTTGTTGTCACCAATCCGTCATAAATTGACCGAAGGTTATCCGTCACATATATTGTCACAAAACCATGCCCGTCACTAATAGCAGTCGCAAAACGGTTGTCACAAATGTTTGTCACAAACCATCGGTAACAATCCCTCACAAATCTGTTGCTAATTAATATTATATTTTGTTTAGAACCGTCACAATCCTGTCACAGATTATTAAAATAACAATTTCACTATTATTTTTTTAGTTTTGTACATTATTGGTTAAACATGTTAATCAAATATTTCAAGAACTCATTTGACTTTGAAATTAAATCATCCATAAGAACAACAAAAATAACAATACTTAAAATATCTTTATATAAAAATTACCAACGTATCGAAAAATTAAAAACATTAACCTTAATATATACCAGCGAAGCATAAAACTAAATAAATTACAAAAGAACACAAATCTAAACCAGAGCAATCAGAGTATTTGTACTCCATCCATGTCCTCTATCTAAACCTTTCCTTTAGCAATTGATATCCTGCAAATAATCAAAACATAAACATACATTACCAACAAAAAATTAAAACATATATACTCAGAGTACAAATACGAAATGCAATTTAGTGAGAAGTTATACTAAATAAATGCATATGCCCAACCTATGAATAAGAACAAAATGTTCGATGAAGCCCTTAATCTCTTATTGGTTCACTCTAGCTTCTGCATTAATCGAAATGTTCGATGAAGACCACATATGTGTTCCCTAAATAAAGAGATATGATCCAATAAGAAGATCCAAGAACACTCATTCTGATGGTAACCACTCAGAATACCTTAACAAAGAATGACTAATTAATACAATCACACTGGAAAAAAACCTCAATCTTCATCGCAAAACCAACTGATCGTTTTATTTAAATACAAGAACATATATGAATCTAAAGATTTACCCGTATGCCCAAGGGTCCTCTATTAATTTGCTTCTGATTTCTTCGTACTTTTCTTCACTTGGGATTATTCTCCACTTGAAGCATTCCTCACCCTGTGCACTCCATATCTCGACCCATTTCTCACCACCAATTTATGTTTTCTGTTACAAGAAACAGAGTACACCAGTATGCAAAATTGTTTGATAATGTTCAATTGTTATTGGTGAACCAATTACAAAATACCTTTCAAGGAGCAAAGATTGTCTGCGGAGTTAAAGATGAAACATTTACCTTATAAAATATTACCACTCTGCCCAATCACTCAATAGAATACCTAAATTTTCAGTAGTTTTATCAATCAACAAATATATTACCATTCTCTGAACTGAAATATATAAAACAGAAAAGCCAATACCTGTAGCTTAATGTGAAAAACCAAAGGATTTCTGAGGATAAACTGCACATTTGTATCCTCTAATTCAATTATTGATTTGTAGATACCTCCAACCAATGAACATAAAAAAAAAATATAGCACAACTTACTACGCCGGTGATTCGCCGTCGCCGATGTGTTGTTTTGTTGCCTAACAAACAACAAAAATCGATTACGCCATTGACGATGTGTTGTTGCCTGATAGAGTAAATCAATTACGCCGCCACAAAATTCTGAAAATCTGATAGTGGAGAGGAGAAATTCGAATTGCAAAAACCCCAAGCCCTAATTGTAGCCAAGTTTGTGAGACGTGAGTGTGTGAGTAGTGAGTACTATGTTTTCTTTTGTGGTGCACGATGTTTTGGGTACTGTAGTGGACTAGTGGGCTTTTGGGGGTTATTAATCAATTGTTATTAATCAATTAATTAATTGGAGGATGAAACAGATAAACGTGATTAAATGGTGATGGTGAATTCCATCTGATCCGCTAATATTTTTCACTTCGCTACGTTCTTTTTATTCTTCCTCCTTGAAAGAAAAAGAAAAAGAAAAAGAAAAAAAATATATTAAAAAATCAATCGTTATTACTTATTAGTTTATGCAGTATAGTTAAACTTAATTTGTTAATTTAATTGTATGCTATCAATTTCTTTTATTCTGGGTGTGGTATTTTAATTTTTATATTTTCAGGAAAAAAAATATAATCCTAAGAAATAAATAATATAGTTTTATTTTTCAGTAGTATAGTACGAAACTATAAAATAAGTAATACTGTCGATTAGAAACACTGTAACATTCAAGTACATTAATATGAACACATTATATTTAGGGGTTATATTTAAGCAATAATTTAAATTGTTATATTAATTTTTATTTATATTTTTTATATTAAGTATTTTTCTATGTCATAATTTTGAAAAGAAAAAGATGAAGAAACATATAACAAAGTAACTAATAACAAAATTAAGAATGTCGTTAACTTGTAATCAATAAACATAAGATAGATGTATGACGGAATAGTAAGTGATCGGCAAATCAATAACGACACTTCAAATATGCCGATTGATGGAAAAATAACATTTGACATATTTGTGATGAATTTATATTTTTAATTTATTCATATTGGTGCATTAAAGGGAATTTACTAAAATTATATTAATAAGTAACACAATAATAAGCATAGTAACAGATTAATGACGAAACATAAAATGTGACGTATTTGTGTCTGAAATGTATGTGACAGTTTCTGAACGGATAAACGCAGTGACAGATTAATGACAAAACTTAAAAGGTGACGAAGTTGTGACCGAAATGTATGTGACGGATTGGTGGCGGACAGGATATTGTGACAGATTTGTGACCAACATTAATGAAATTCTTACATACATAAAAAGTTTGTGATGCATTTGTGACAGAGCCAATTTCCGTCAAAAGATGTGTGACCACAAAGTGACTGAATTTCGATTGTCACACAATCCGTCACAGAGTCGTCACATATTGGTCATAAAAAAATTCTAAATTTATGTAGTACATTCGGTCACATATTTGTCACTCATTCGGTCACTAATGGTGACGGATTTAGGTTGTTACAAAATATCCGTCACAAAAGCCCTGTTTTTTGGTAGTGGCAATAATACTCGACGTTTACGTTTACGTGGATTATTGTTTGGGTTAATTTATGTTTCTGTTTTTATTGGTGGATTTGGTATCTTTTAGGTACAAATCGAAAATTAGGTGTCCATGAAGCAAAAATGATCAAAGGGTAAGAAAAGAGTTGCAATTAAGAAAATAAAATCAAATTAGAAGAGAGAATCCCACAACATCTTTGCTAGTGTCCATGAAGTCGAGCATAACTCTCACATCCGGGCTCCAAATCGATTTGTTCCGGTGGCATTAGAAAGCTAATTCAGTGGGCTACAATTCCCATCTAACGTCAAAATTCCAAATTCGGACTCGAACATGGTCAAAATTGGATAACAAAAGCGATCATGAAAATACGTACTACAATTCAAGGACGAGAATGCGCATCAAGAAACGTGCACAAAAACACTGGCTAGAAAAGATACGCACATGAGTAAAAGTTCAAAAGCATGCAAAAAAGTACTCAAGCAAAAGTGCATTCTCAAAAAGGATAATGAAAACACAAACTACAATCCTAGGACATTAATACAAATAAACAAACATGCACATACACGCTCCCTCAAATGGACATGCACAAAAACGTACATGTAAAAAAACATGCGCTTCCGAAACAACGTTCTTAGAAACACGAACTACAGTACTATGACTTTAATACGCATCAACAGACAACAGCAAAAACACTAGATAAAAAAGATACAAGGTAGTGTAGCAATAATACTCGACGTTTACGTTTACGTGGATTATTGTTTGGGTTAATTTATGTTTCTGTTTTTATTGGTGGATTTGGTATCTTTTAGGTACAAATCGAAAATTAGGTGTCCAGGAAGCAAAAATGATCAAAGGGTAAGAAAAGAGTTGCAATTAAGAAAATAAAATCAAATTAGAAGAGAGAATCCCACAACATCTTTGTTAGTGTCCACGAAGTCGAGCATAACTCTCTCATCCGGGCTCCAAATCAACTGGTTCCGGTGGCATTAGAAATCTATTTCAGTGGGCTACAATTCCCGTCTAACGTCAAAATTCCAAATTCGGACTCGAACATGGTCAAAATTGGATAACAAAAGCGATCATGAAAATACGTACTACAATTCAAGGACGAGAATGCGCATCAAGAAAAGTGCACAAAAACACTCGCTAGAAAAGATACGCACATGAGTAAAAGTTCAAAAGCATGCAGAAAAGTACTCAAGCAAAAGTGCATTCCCAAAAAGGATAATGAAAACACAAGCTACAATCCTAGGACATTAATACAAATAAACAAACATGCACATACACGCTCCCTCAAATGGACATGCACAAAAACGTACATGTAAAATAACATGCGCAAAAGTGCATCCGAAACAACATTCTTAAAAACACGAACTACAGTACTATGACTTTAATACGCATCAACAGACAACAGCAAAAACACTAGATAAAAAAGATACAAGGGAGTGTAGCAATAATACTCGACGTTTACGTTTACGTGGATTTCTGTTTGGATTAATTTATATTTCTGTTTTTATTGGTGGATTTGGTATCTTTTAGGTACAAATCGAAAATTAGGTGTCCAGGAAGCAAAAATGATCAAAGGGTAAGAAAAGAGTTGCAATTGAGAAAATAAAATCAAATTAGAAGAGAGAATCCCTCAACATCTTTGGTAGTGTCCACGAAGTCGAGCATAACTCTCTCATCCAGATTCCAAATCGACTGGTTCCGGTGGCATTAGAAAGCTAATTCAGTGGTCTACAATTCCCGTCTAACGTCCAAATTCCAAATTCGGACTCGAACATGGGAAAAATTGGATAACAAAAGCGATCATGAAACTACGTACTACAATTCAAGGACGTGAATGCGCATCAAGAAACGTGCACAAAAACACTCGCTAGAAAAGATATTCACATGAGTAAAAGTTCAAAAGCATGCACAAAAGTACCCAAGCAAAAGTGCATTGCCAAAAAGGATCATGAAAACACACACTACAATCCTAGGACATTAATCCAAATCAACAAACATGCACAAACACGCTCCCTCAAATCGTCATGCACAAAAACGTACTTGTAAAAAAACATGCGCAAAAGTGCATCCGAAACAACGTTCTTAAAAACACGAACTACAATACTATGACTTTAATACGCATCAACAAACAACAGCAAAAACACTAGATAACAAAGATACAATGGAGTGTAGCAATAATACTCGACGTTCACGTTTACTTGGATTTTTGTTAGGATTAATTTATATTTCTATTTTTATTGGTGGATTTCGTATCTTTTAGGTACAAATCGAAAATTAGGTGTCCAGCAAGCAAAAATGATCAAAGGGTAAGAAAAGAGTTGCAATTAAGAAAATAAAATCAAATTAGAAGAGAGAATCCCTCAACATCTTTGGTAGTGTCCACGAAGTCGAGCATGTTAGAGTAGGTGACCAACAAGCCAACTTGTGGCTGTGGTCTTTCGTATTTATTATTGTAATAAACGAACCTTTATTCGTATTAATGATAAAACACATTGGCATTCTATATCTTTGTCCCTTTGTCACAAGCATAGATATAGTCCTTACAGTTATTACAAGTACTAGTAATTGATCGTTAGGATCGTGAGATATTTACTTAAGTATTATAACTGTTAAACGTGTTCCTAGTCGAAGGGTTACGCCACTAATGAGGATATCGGCCTTTCCCATTAAGACTAGCACTTAGTGTATGTGTACTGCATCTCATCAGTAAACGGTATTGTGATATCGGCATGCACAAGTGGGTGCTCGTAAGTTGACGAGTTCACTGAACTCCCTCACCCTAGAAATCTCTAAGTGGTTCACAATAATCGAGTAGAGATATCTATGGTATAGTTGTACACCATTAGTCCTTATGACCTAGACATCACCGTGACTTCACTAGAGGACCAGCTGTATCGTGACCTGTCCCTGAGTTCCACCGAGGACCATCCCAAGGGCCAGTGTTCGTGCAGTCCGAAATCTAGTGGGAGGTCTGTGCATTGTAGTCGGGGATTCGATCGCTAGAATAGTCTTGGATGTCCTGTGTGTTCTGAAAGTTTGTAATCATTCTAAGTCTCTGGCCAGAGCTGACTAAGTGATGATTAGAGAATTCGATTCTTTAAGTCATGCACGTAAGGATTACAACACTTAGAACGATCGCACCGTTATTGAACATATAAAGAGGTCTCGATGAACCAATGCCTCTAGTTCGATCGGGACATATGAATCGAAGGGACCGTACTGTACGTTAACTATATCTGAAGGTTCTTGCAGGCACTTCATTTGTATCTAGGGAATCATGACGCGTAGTTGCTAGACGCCAATCTTGATTCGTTGGGTGATTAAGGTGAAACGAGCTTCATCTTAATTGTAACTCGAAGGGGACGAGTTTTGACCACAAAGAGTTGTGGGCCCACGGCTAGCTTACACCTGAACCATCGAGGGTCACACTG